AAAAACAATATGTATACAAAGGTTCTTTTTTTTTTTTTTTTTTCAAGAATGGCAATCAAACATGAAACATGTGATTGTTTGTATCTCTGAAAACCCTAATATAATTTGAACATCATCGATATTTCAAAAACTCTACATATTCCCTTTAAAGCAAAAACAAACATACCATGTCTTTGCTGCAGATAATTTAAAAGAAATCGAATTCCAAATAATTACTCTGATCATGCTTAAAAGCACCGGGCCTGGTTTTACTGCTAGCTGATGCTGGGACCGGAATCTGCTCAAGTTGAACTGGTTTTGGGATCTCTGGGGGACTTGCACAACGGATTAAAGCCCAGTTCACACCTTCGAAAAAGGGGTGTTGCTTGATTTCTGTTGCTCCACGCTTGTAAGCCAATCTGTGCTGTGGCTCTTTTACTAGCAAACCCCTTATCAAATCTCTTGCAGCAAAGCTCACTACTGGTGACTCCGGGAAGCGTAATGGCTGACCTACGACATTGGATAAAGTGGCCTGATTCCCGGATCCTTTGAATGGAGTCTTACCAAACAATAGCTCGTAAAGAAAGATACCAAAAGTCCACCAATCAACAGCACTTCCATGGCCTTCCCCCTTGATTATTTCGGTGCCAAGTACTCATGGGTTCCCACAAAGGACATCGAGCGAGCATTGATGGGCTCAGCAATAAGCTCTGGCAATGGAATGACTTGATTTCCCATTTCAATCTGGGTTTTCTATCCTTCTTAGATCTGCTTGAAAAGAGCCTATGGGAAAAACATGTTGTTGGGACAACGCACGATGGCTGTATACAAGAAGGGTCAATACAAGCAGGTTGAACACAATAAACAGGGTTCTTTCGCAAAGGTTCAGACTCCAGCGATGATGATTTGACTAATGTAGGGCTGACAGCACAGCGTAGGGAGAGATCAAAGTCAGAAAGCATTATGTGTCCATCCTCCCTCACAAGAACATTTTCTGGCTTGAGGTCACGATAAACAATCCCAAGCATGTGAAGATATTCTAAGGCAAGGAGAATCTCTGCTATGTAGAACCTGCAAGAAAGAAGATATACAATAACAATGAGCATTTAGCAAGCATTTTAAATAATGTAAAAATCATTACAATAACTATTGGATGGAGAATGCAATCATGACTATTCAGGTTATCTCCACCATTCTCCTACCAGTTTCTCCTACCATTTTCCATACTTCAGGCTATATTCAGAGCAAATCTTGATTTCATGCGGAATTCATTAGTAGGTATACAGTTACTCCATTGCTCTAATTTGACATAGAGTTCCTTGTGCGCTCAAATTTTACTTCAATAACTTCTAACTATTTTGGTTTGTGAATGAATTCCACAGAGATTTTGGATGTCTTCCACGCATAGCCTAAGCCTAAATAAAGATTTTATCAAAAACAAAAAGGAAAGGTTCTATTGACATTTTTCAAAATAGATAAAATCAAACTTGTTATGTTTAAGTATAAAGGATGGTATGGAAGAGTATGCCTAGGTTCTTTGCAGGACAAAGCATTTCGGCCATTACAATCTAACAATACAGAATCTTGTTCTAAAAGCTATTACTAGATACAAATAAATGTTAAGAAACCTAAGTTTCAAACAAAAAGAAACCTCATTTCAACAGGAATTCCTAACTTTAACGAGGGAAAGTAAATCACGTTCTATTCATGTCTGAGATCAGGACTGAGCTAACAGAAGTAACCTTTATCTCCACTTTCATACTTAGTGAATACCAAGCCACACTTATTGATAGGCTTGATTATGTACAAAACTAAATGAAATCCTCAAGTAAATGTAAACCACTTACAGCTAAGTTATCAGAAAATTCTGGCATAACATTGTCCGGATAGGTTTTTTTCGTCTGATTTCTACACTACAGAAACAATCCTGTTTTATTGACTTCTCAATCAACATCTGCATGTTCATTCATCAGGGTATATCACATTTTATTTTTCATGTTTTGATTGAAATAACTTCTAACAACTTCACTCTAGGCATATTAGCGTTCTAACTGGAATTGGCCAGCACATCACTAAGAAGGACCTCTACCTCATTCTTTAAAGGAAGAACCTAGGAGCTTAGGCTAGATTTGGATTACGTCAAAAAATTTAGAGGAATTCATTTCCATATCCACACTTTATCCAACTCGAAGATAATGAAAATTTTCTTGAAATAATAAAAAATTGGCCACATGCAAAATTTCAGGTAGAACTGTAATAACGAATTCCAAATTCTAAATCCATATTTGTCATGCAAGGTTCCAATTTCATACAAAATTATGAGTTTGATTTTCTGCCTTCTAATATAATTTATATCTTTTCTTGATTGAATTAATCATGGATTTACAGAAGACTTCCACTAAATTTACGATTTTGCATCAAACATAGCCTTTGTTTATAGAGCAAATCAAAATTCTAATTCAAAGGAAACAAAACAAGTATTCATCCCATAAATGTTTAAAAAATAGATCTACAACATTTAAGCCGTAGAAAACACATGATACACAATTGGTCTAGCAAAAACTAGATACTTTTGGAAAAGGAAGCACCAAAATAAGAATAAATGCTCATGAAATTCATTTAAGAGATTTAACAACAAAGACACTACAAGGAGGAAAGTTTTCATACTTCACTGCTTGCTCAGAAAAATGTTTCCCTGGTTGCCTCTGACGAAGTGTATGCAAGTCACCTCCAGGGCAGAACTCCATAACCAAACATGAGAATTTGTCAGATTCAAAATGGGTATATAAAGTTGGAAGGAATGGATGATCAAGAGATTGTAATATTTCTCTTTCTGTTTGAGCTCGAAGCAGTTTCTTACGACTTGCTAAAGATGCTTTGTCCATAATCTTCATAGCAAAGTAACACTTTGTTCCAGTTAACTCTGCAAGATGGACACTTCCTATATCTCCGCAGCCCAGCCTCTTCAAAAGTCTGAAATGGCTCAAACCCAATAATCCATCTTTTGTTCTAACTGCTTGTATGGCTTCCCATCTCATATCATTTGCTTTATGAGGCTTGTTCATACTGCTACTAAAGCTGCTACAAGTACTTTCATCACTCACATTGCTGCTTGTGCTTCCTCTACACATACTGGTCTTCCCACTCTCAACAAAATCAGCCTGATCACTAGCTTTGACACTCCCACTGGTCTTTTCAAGGCTGCTAATTCTCTCAGCACGTACATCTGATGTGGGACTAATTTCAGGCTCTAATGTTTTCTTCTCTTGATAAGAATTACCTTTTGATAAGCCCTTTGTCTCACTCACTTCAGGATCCATACAAGTCTGCACTTGTTTCAGATTAGCCAAGGATAAACTTGTACCTATTTCATCAGCTAGCGAATTGAGAGACAATTGTTTAGTAGAATTCCCCGATTTTCCACTTACAGCTGTTGCAACAGAAACTGGCTTTGAAGGAACCTGTTGGGCACTATTAGGTAGTTTTCTAGGGTTAACTGGCTCTGATTTACTCGACTTTGTAACCTGCAAGGCTGCAGGCTGGCTACAGCTTCCTTCTGATGTTTGATTATCACTTGGTTTCCTCTGCTTTTCCGGAGTAGCTCTGGCACCCGATTTTGAGGCCATTTAGAAGACATAAATCTTACATAGATTGGACTGTTTGAACCTATCACGCAGCCTCAAGCTTCAGGGAATGATTCCCTTCAGAATCAGTCATTTCCAATCTCTTCTCCAACTCCATCAAGCAATAAGCCTACCAATATATAATTGACAAAACAGAGCATAACTGTCATGCAATCAAATTCTTCCAACCACAGATATCCAAATCCATGGCACACTAAAATGAAAGCTCAAGAGGCAGAAGTACCAAAAGGCTACTAAAAATGTTTGAGCAAGAAGAGCACAAACTAAGACAGGTTTAGTATTATTTCTTATTAGTTACAGGATCCAAGTAATCAACCTAAATTCAAATTAGTAAGGCATCATTGACAAGATCACGTGCAACCCAAATGGCACAGTTGAAGTATAGTCAACCAATGAAGTAGCCACTAACAAGAGAACTGAATTCTTTAACAACTCAAAATTAACTTAAGAACTAGACAAAGTTAGCATAGCAGAGGCATTTCTCATAAAAGAAGAGAAAAGGAACACACACGTACCAAGGATATCATGCAGAGGTAAACCATAATCCCGAGAAACAATTAGAAACCCAGAAAGAAATTGCTAATGTATTATGATGAAAAAAATAAAAGACATTCATGTACCTGAAAAACACTACACTTTTTTTGTAATTGTAAAGCAAACTTTTTAGGAATATTTTCAACAGGAAGATAACAATCAATTCATACAAGAAAAATGTAGTTCCTCTATGCCTCAGGAAACACTTAGCAAAGGCCAAAAGACCAGAGGATAAGAACAAAGAAGAGAAGATTCATACAGATCTCCAGAACATTGGCCCACCTCTCTAAATCCAGAAACCCCACAAAGACCCAGTTGCTAAAAAACAAAGAACCAAAAAAAAAAAAAAACAAACAAAGAAAACCCACCGAGCAAATCATAAAACCAGTTAAAAGTGAATAGAAGAAAAGGAACCCATCTCTCATAAAAGAAGAATACCTGATGATAGCTTCAAAAATCAGAACTTTGAGAGAGCCTTTGCTTTTGCAGTGGATGAAAAAGAAGAAAGAAATAACTTAAAAGGGAGAAAGAGCACTCACTACTCAGTACTCATCAGCACTGTAGATAGACATAAAAGAATTGTCAATCAGGACTCCTCTCCACGAAAATGTGTGGAGAGAGAGAGAGAGAGAGAGAGAGAGAGAGAGAGAGAGTAAAAGAAGAAACTTTGAGAGTGTCAAAAGGAGGACTTGGGTCTACCATGAAAAGAGGAGAGGGGTCAAAGCTAAAGTAAAAAGCTTTTGAGTTTCAATTATTTCAATGTATTTTGTTTTGTCCCCAACACTAAACAAAAGTCTCTATCAAACATATGGGCCTTAAAAGGCTCCAACCTGTCTTTCATTCTTTTTGGGCCTTTTCTTTTTCTTTCTTTTCATTTTTCTTCTTGTTTAAATATGTTTTTTAGTTTCCTATTTTAGAGTTTGATATTCTTTCTCAAAACCAAACACGCCCTTATTTTGTGGTCCATAAAGTCTAAAGTGCTTGCTTTCTTTCTTTCTTTCTTTTAGCCTTTTGATTATCAATTTATGGATTGCATGATGAGCAGTGACCACTGAATCAGATGGACAAGATTCCATCACTCACAAATGATGAACTCCAACTAAATTTTTTCTATCTCTATACTAAAAATCAAATCTTACATTGAGTTATTTTAATTAAAATTTATAAACAAAAATAAGAAAAATAAAACATATATATATATGATATTTTAGTTAATACACTATAAAGTTTATTAATTTTAGTATAATTTTGATATCTTAGTCTGATTTCACACATAATTCTATATATACACACATTTTTTTTTTGTATTTTTTTTAACACAATTAACATATTTCTTCAATTAATATAAAATTTAGATTATCTCTAAATTTGTTCACTCTTACTTTAAGGTATAAATTTTATAAATGTTACATTAAGGTACAATTAAATTAAATATCTCTAAGTATGTTTGTTAAATTGAACTTGGCATCAACCTTTCTTCCAAGTGTTTTTTTTTTCTTTCTTGCATATATATATATATATATATATATATAGAGAGAGAGAGAGAGTGGCTCAGAAAGTTGCTGTGAAGTGTGATGATGAGAAATATGAGGAGAGAGAGAATATATGAAGATGAAGATAATCAGTCAATGCCTAACTTGTGGGTCCAGACCTCATAATTATCTTCAGCTCTTAATTATGTTCTGAAAGTAATTAATTAAACAAAGAAATTAAGTTGTTAATTAAACCATAAATTAATAATAATGTGGCTTATTCAGTCAATGTAAAGCCATTTTCTTCTCCCCTAGGTGGCTCATTCATTGTTATATCAACCATAATACAATTATTTAATATAACCTAATTATTACCATGCAAAAATTTATCTTTCAGAGAGATTATTTTATTTTTTAAAAGAAAAAAGTTATTTGATAATCATTAATTTTTTTTTAATTGAGTAAACATGATGAATGAATTTTTTTTATTATCAAAATAAATAAAAAAATTTATTCTTAATTATGTTTATTGATAAACTCATAATGGATTTATTGTAATTATTGGAATTTTAAATTTTAAGATAATAAATTTAAGTAAAATCAATCTTATTTTTATTAAAATTAGTTTTGTACAAAATTTAATAAGTTAGAGTTTATATGTGACTAAAGTAGGTTAATTATTTTTTATTAATTTAATCTTTTGAGGTAATTTGTTTAATTAATTATTTAAGAATAATTATTTTTTTTATGTAATGATATAAATATTAATAAAAATAATAATTTTTTTGTTTGTTCATACTTTATCTTTTACAGTATTTAAAACTAATCTTGATAAAATAAATAATTTATTTTATTTAAATCTTACAAATGACAGTAAATCAATTTTATACCATACAAATAAATATATAAACAAAATTCTTAATTAATTTTATTTTAAAATAATTTCATAAATTCAGAAGATATCTAGTAGTAACACAAATATTTTTGACCTAACTAATATATATGTATATATATAATTTACTAATAAATATGTGTCCTTGAATTGATCAGTTAGATTTTTGTAAGCACTATTTAATTGTACAGTGACCTGCCTAAAAAGATCATGTGCTGCTGCTTTATGTCATGTCCTAATTGACAAGGAATTCAGCAATTAGCAAAATTGACCTAACATGCTTATTCTTGATTGAGGATTTTGGAAACTTGTTGCCTGATCTTCCTACCTTGTCACTTACCTTATTCTTGATTAGGGTTTATTGAATTAATGAATAATTAAATGTATATACTTACACTGGACAAGAGAATAAAAAAAAAAGGGATAATGGCTGGCTAAACTATTATCTACCATTCAAGAAGAAATCTAACATCAACAACATATATATATATATATATATATATATACACACACACACACATGTATACACTGATTTCTCTACTACTAGGATAGGGACTGTGAGCTGGCACAGCAGACCAATATGCTTTTGTCCTTATTGCCACCTGTTGGTAACATGCTCCATATGGGTGGCCACATAAAGTTCATCAAAGTACACAAGCTCAGATGGTACCTACATAAACCAAAAAAATTTAATAATTTGGTAAATAGTTAAACCCAATTTAGGGTTTTGTTTTTTCTTTTTTAAAAGAAAATATATTTAAAAGCTGTTTTTCTGGGTGTATACATGCAGGGATTGAGGGACCACTTGAACCAAAAGAAAGGAAGATGAGAGAAACAGGACAATGGGTGAACTCAATTATCCAACTTTGACAAGCCAAGCCACTCATCTAAAGCTTTTATGGCTTATTTTTAGTGTTATGGACAATAATAGTATAAGGCATATTCTCTGATTAGGTATTTGATTGTGGAAATTTCTTGCTAAAGTGACATGAAGGTTATGGACCTACCAATCACTGAGAAATTGCCAAAACAACATTGTAATGATTCAATCAAAATCAAGTATGTATTATTCCTTGTAATGATCTTCATACACACACAGATTCCACTTCCATACTATCATGTAAATATCCAGAGCACTCTCCTGCAACAAGTTCCTCATATAATCTTTTCCTCATTTCATAAACAAAGGAAGGAAAATGGTTTTGTTTTCCAAAAGAAAATAAGAAGAAACAAGATCAGAGAATGGAGAAAATTAAAAAACTTCCCTCAGTGGTAAAAATTGAGGGAACAAGTTATATCAGTGTAACAATCTTTTAAATCACATACCTGTCTCTTTACAGCCATTTTATATTTGATTTTATATATTAGTAACCAAAAAGAAAAGCATTTTTAGTAGACTTAATAACCAGACATCAAGAGATTTCAGTGATCAAAGATTCGCACTTGTCTTCCAAAATCTTCACAGCTTCAGTAAACAGGATTTCTGGAGGTAATGACCCAGCTGATTCAATTGTAACTGGAAAGTAAAGAACAAACGGAAATTAGAACCCAAATATCTTTCAACAGGGAATAATGTCGAATTTCAGTATTTGCATAAAGGTTGAAACAGTACAAATCATGAAACGCCAAATGAAGCAGTAGCGAACACATTTAGTTTTACCTTATATAGCAGTCAGTTACCACTACCGCAGAGGAAATGTTATTTGAAACTCAGAAAACCACCTTAACTATAGTATACCTCACACAGATGTTGAAGTTAATAATTTGATACTGACCCCAATTTCCCAAAGTTCTACATGTTTATCATTGTATCCATCGCTGTCTTCCTTACAAGTTAGATTCAATTGCTACCATTAATTGTTATAAAACATTCCCCGTTAAAAAGCTGCCTTGAAATAGTATCAGTAGAAGCTATAAATTAAATTGTTAGCATCATTTAGTTCTCATAGATTTCTCACATCAATACCCAAATCATTGTTCACCAGTGCTGTAAAATAAGTGTACAGACAATACTACTTACATATGAAATGATCTTTAACCCGCCGTAGTGCCACACGTTTGTCCCACTCATCACCTCTTATGCACTCCCGACATAGCGTACAAGCCCGAGGTCTCGCTACAGTTGCTCTTTTTCTACCTGTTTGGTGATATACGATTAATTAGGAAAGTGAGACAACCATCAGAAGGAGGCCATTTGACACCATGTAATGTTCACATTCCTTAATGTAAACCGTACAAATATCTTCACAGGAACCAAATCACTTCACCTTTACCAATATCTTCAATATCAAATACATTAACCGGGCATTTCTCTACAAGTTCTATGGCATCCTCATCCTCAATCTCTTCCAACAATACAACCTACACACCAGAATTAAAATACCCTTAGAAAGGAAACAAAAAAAAAGGAGCACTTAAAAGCCGGAAGACAACACACTTCACAATAAACCTTCCTCTAATGTAGATCTTACCTCAGGAAGCATCCGATACCAAGCAGTAGCCACAGGGGACCACTTCGCGTGCGTTTTACCCATGCCTTTAACAGCATGTGCTTCTAGTTCAATTTCCTACCAAGAAAAAAGGGCAAATCTATTTAACACAGAGAAGTCAACCACTATTACAACTTGAAACTGCGAAAGCTCACTATTATACATGTGAAAGTATAAAATGCATCAACTTTAGACAATTAAAAAGCATTTTCCTGTGGCAAAGACCAATATAAACTGATTTAATCTTTTCTTTCAGATTAAAGGGGATGCAGCCAAGTTTTATATACTAGTTTGGACATTTATCACAGGATTTCAATTCTAACTGAACAATCAGAAAGAAAATTTCTTCTACTCAATCACCATTTAAGAAAGAAACTTGGTCCATGATGCGTAAACAAATGGAACCAGAGCAGCATATCTAATGATAAGGCTGTAGCTGGCTCAAAGCTCATTTAGAAATAAGAATGCAGTTGAGTTGATTTAGCATATCCTGATCTCGGTCCAGGATTAAAGGCTCTATTTTATGTTTATTTACATTAGCATGCCCCAAGTTTATTTTCTTGATCAAGTTTAGGAAACAAGGGTTCTCTACATTTTTTTACTACTACTAATGATTCGTTACTAGGCCCCCTGAATTTTCATAATGATGCCGATAATGCAACAACTATGAGCACAAAATAAATTAAACCTCACCTGACCAGGGCCAAGTTTGGATATAATAATATCAGGATGCTTGGGGCCAATCTGACTGTTGGCAAATTCTGGCATGATCTCTTGACTACGAGTAAATGAAGTGTAAGTTTCAGGTTTTGAGGTCGAATTCAAGGTAGAGCTTCCAGATACCTTAATAAGCTCACTTCCATTCGGTAACCACTTCAACTCATTGGATTTTACTATATTCAAGATCATTGTTAAGTTGACACAAAAAACAAAAGGAAATATTGCATGATCAAATTCACAAAGAATAAAACTTTTGGATGAAAAAGAAATAATTATACCTGTAAGACGTGGTGCCCGTCTTTCACAACGAACATGGAGTTTGAAAACAATGGTATTCTTCTCATTTGGCTGATCATTTTCTATAGTAGAAAAGAAAAAGGGGTGAGTGACACAACGGAATTTCTAACAGATGGAGGAGCAGAAATATACCATATCTTATCCTTATCACAGAAAACATTAAAAATAATAAAAAGCCTGATAAACATTTGGACCTGATAAATATTCAAAGAGCCTTGGGTCAGCATTGATGGGAATGAGACCCAATCTATGGGCAAGAACTTCATCTTGAACCACCGATGTATTGTTTGCAATGAGAACTTTTTCAATAGCCATTGTTGGAAGCTGCATGTACATCAATCAAATTCATGAATATTACCAGTGCTGTCCCAATGGACCTACTAACTTGATATATATAAGGGGTGTCTTGTGATAGGTGCAGCAAGGCATTTAAGGTCAATTAATCAAAGTGAAATACCTAGCATAAATGACAACTCATAAAGTTAAGGGCATACTATGCCATGACTATCCATGATTTTGTAATCCTAGGTCGTTAAATAGTATTCTCACCTCAGCTATTAAGATTCTCCTAAATGCATTTGCAATTGCTGCATCTATACCAATCATATCAAACTCCATATCATCCTCTGTGAGTCGAACCACTTCAACTCTGAAGTTGTCACGGAAATGGTTCAGTCGTCTAGTATTGTCTACTTCAATAGAGTCGTAGGCACCACTATAGGTTATGCCCTCTGTCTACAAGATGCAGATACAAAAGCATTATTAGGCTATGAGATAAATAAATTTTTCATAGAAAACAAATAAGCAGCAAAGAAAAAAAAGCTAACCTAAGGAAGTTTGATGCTTCCATTGTCATATCTGTTAATCTCTATTCCTAAAGATGCCAATTTTAACTTTATCAGCTAGTTCACATTTAACCACCTAGAAGCAAATTATACCAAAACCTCAACCATTGGTATAAACAGAAAATATACATATTCACATAAAGGAAATTTCTTATACTTGTCTAGGCAACTTAACTATATTTAAGCTAAATCCAAAAAAAAATTTCCCCCGGAGCTTGAAGAAACTGAGAAAAAGAAACCCCGAAAATAAAAAATCAAAACAATAAAAAAATTTCTTTTCTTTTCCTTCAAATTCCAGCTAAAGCACGGTATCAATGACAAGAAAAATCCTGGTCAATATCTAAAACGGCCGTGTAAATCACTAACTAGCTCCAGATTCAACAAAAACTGTTCAACATCTTCAAATTTCAAAATAGTCCAACAAAAAGAAAATATAAAGGGAAAGAAAGTATTACATGGATAGGAGCATCTTTATTGCAGATGACGCGAGTTCTCTGGAGCTCGAGGTGGGGAGGCAGTTTTCCCATTGGCACATCTGGCAAATCCCATATAGAAAATCCCTTCTTGTTGACTTCTTCTTTTTGGTCTTCTTGCCCGATCATTGTCTTCAAGCTCTGTCTCTCGCTCCCTGGCTCTGTTTCGCAAGTTAAGAGAGTTTTGGGAGACTGAGCGTAGAAGAGGGGGATGGGAGCTTGGGTTTAGGGTTTAACAGGGCGGGAAGAAGACCTGCAACGCCACAGCAACTTTAGCTTATGATTTTAGAACCGGTCGGTTTGGTCGAACCGGTTCAGTATTTAATGCCAAATTTTGGATTTAGAATTTGCAAAATTAGAATTTGCTTTGCCAATCTCACAGCTCTCCTATTTTATATATAAATTTAAAGTGAATTTCTAAGGGAATTCATTAATAATTTTGGATTTTTTTTTTTTTCATTACATTGTTCCAATTTTCAATTACGTTAAACTCTCAATGCCTTATAAAAAAAAGTCACCATATATAATCTAATGTATAATTATCTTAGTTTAAGTGAAGATAAAAGAGAAGAGATAATATATATTCTTCAATATATATAAGTAATACGAATGCCATATGATATTTTCGAACTTCTTCTGAAAAAAAAAAAGTAATCAATATCGATTATAATATATATATATATTACATATTAAAAAATTTAAATACCATCCACAAATTTTAAAGTACAAAAAATTAATTTATACAGTGATGTACATAAATAATTATTTATTTAAATTCTTGAAATATTAAATAAAATTTAATTTTTAATTAACTACAAACTATGATATATCTCAAGTAACATAGAATATAAATTTAGTTTCTATTCCTTTAAAATCAATTTAAGAAATTACAAAATGAATAGGCAAAACAAAATATTAATTTCCTAATCCTCCATCCAAACAAGACGCCTGTAAGGGAATAAAAATGACATAATTGTTTTTAAGTAATTAAAAGAAAAGAAAACAAAACTTTCTCCAACTTCCTCCGATCATGAGGTAGAGGGATAGTCAGAGCCCTTTTTAGACTTTTTCGAGTTACACTAGAGTGAAATAATATTACAGACATATAAAATTGAAGTGACTAAAACATTTTAAGGTTGATTTCTTCTTCCCCATATTTAGTCACTGTAATGGGAAAACCAAGTTTCGCCGGTTTCTGACATTGTTTACTCGGTTAGCTTTTCCTCGCCTTCTTACCATCATCCCTCAAAGTTCTTCTTTTCTCTTCTCTGCAAGAGGTCAAAAAAAGAAATGAACAAAATCTCTAAGGGCTACGCATTTTCTAACCCAAGTACAAGTTATACCATGTTAGTATTATTTCTCGTAAGAAATTATTTTGTATAGCAATACACTTCGATATAACACACATTTCCATTAATAACTTGATAAAAAATTCAGTTTATAATTAAACTCGTATATTTTATCTAGGTTACTTATAGAAATATTATATTGATCCAACTTGTAACAATCATGCAAAATAATCTTTGCTTCCTTCCCCCATTTCTAATTGTGGGGTCACACATAAAAAGAATAAATCAAACATGGGCACAAAGATTTACCTTGCTTTAGATATTTCTTCCCTAGATGGAAATTTCCTTTTCTTTCTCTCTTTGGTACTAGATGAGGCCTTTGAATTCTCATTTACACTAGGAGGGTGGTTCTTTAAGCGCATTTTCTTTCCCTTGGTGCTATGTTTCCGCTTGGTAGGCAGACTTTTGGTAGATACATTCTTTGGACCCTTCCTTCTTTCTTCTGTGCTCTTATTTGAGTTGGATCTCCCATTTTCAGTAGGAGAGTTATTCAAGCCCGGGTTTTCTTGTTTAATACTTTCGTTTGGGTTGGAAGCCTGCTCTACTGTTTCCACGGGATCAGAAGGTGAAGGGATGGGCTTCGCATTGCTCATTTTCTTCAACTGTAACAAGTCATAAACAAAGGAGTCGGGAAGTTATCAATTGGCATAGGGCCTAATATGTGTGCGCTGTGGTACAAAAGCAAAACCCAGATTCCAAAAGATGTTTCAAGCCGATACGTGAATGCACAAAGCAGACTCACCCAGACATCTAAATTTATAATGACAAAAAAGGAGTTAGTCAATCATCAGATGCTGAAAGCACAAACAGTCAGTCTTTAGGAACCTGTTTGTCTTACATAGCAAATAAAGCTATGGCTCTCAAAAATCAAACAATAGTTTCATATGACAAGAGCACCTAAAGCATTGAGAATGTAGACATTTCAATGTCTGCCAAATTAATACTTCATTTCTGCCAGTCCAGACCAGCTGTAGCAGGATAATGCAATTATGGAGAATAATTATCTAATTTTAAACAAAGATGTCAGTTTTAAGTTCAGGAAATACCTTAGCAACAAAGAATCCATCCATGTTATGAACGTGAGGATAGAAACGCCTTGTCTTCTCTAAAGACGGATGGAAGCGATGTTCCCTAAAGCGGATAAAGCTGGTGAAAGAGGAAACACAATTAGATATGAAAATCAGCAACATTTATCTGCAGCTGATTAGCAAAGAAATACTACCCTGGACGACCAAAATCAAGTCCACATGGCACAAGTTTAACATCCCTCTTTCGGAGCGCATAATCAATTACTGCTTCATTCTGCAAGATATTACATTATACTAAGAAAACAACACAAATGATGACTCTCCCAAAAGGAAAAGAAAAAAGCTGAAGATGAACAGGTTAAGGAGACTGCTGCCAGAAACACATATGCATCTCATAAACTAACCTCAGGTATCATTATAGAGCATGTGGAGTAAACAATGAATCCCCCTGATTTAGAATTGGCATCCACCATATCAATTGCTGCAAGTATCAGTTGCTGCGTGTAGAACAAAAATGCTAACTAAGAAATACAACAAAACCAAGAAAAAAAAAAGGATGCATATCTTTTGTTAACTGCAACAATTATGGAGGAGCATCACTGCCTCCCCAAGTAAAAATTTTGTTGCATGGCTGCTTCAGCGAAGCATTTTAGTGAAAGCAATTACAGAGAAGAAAAAAGGATCTCTGAGCATATAGATAATAAAACTATGCTTACACTCCCTGCTAACCATTTAAATGTAAAACAATATCCATGATTACCAACAAAAAAAAAACCTTAAATTACATTTTCTGCAAAAAGCATACCTTCTGCAGAAGAGCACTTTTCTGTATATCTTCAAGGCTTTTAGAAGTTTTAACAGACTCATCTTTAGATATAACCTGAATAATATAGTAAAGGTCATTTCAATATTATCGACTATAAAAAGAAGCCCCTGTTCGAAATAAGAGATTCTAAAAAGAACTTCTTACCCCAGTTCCACTGCAAGGGGCATCCAACAATACTCTATCAACTGTGTTCTGACCTAAAACCTTAGGCAGCTGATGGAAGAACAAGGAAAAAAGAAACAGAAACTCGTTATTGGGGTTTTTGAATTCCTTGTTAGAAAGGGTTTGCTCCCAAAAATATTTGTATTTACTCATATCAATGAACCTATACACAAGAACCCTTTTAAGACAAATTAAAATATGAATTTAGGAGTAGAAATGAGCTGCATATTGATAAAACAAATGACGTATGGCAGCAGCAATTTCACATGTTATAGCCTATGCCTCAACTCAGAGGCAATCTCAATGAATCTTAGCTATGAAATCCACTGCAGAACAAAACTGAAGTCATTGGTCAAGAAGCTAACCTCCCTCCCATCATAGTTACAAACTATAGTGTTTGTCACTCCCATACGATGCAAATTTGCAGTGAGTGACTTAAGCCGGGGCACCTTCATTTCATTTGCAAATAGTATGCCTGTTGACAATATAAAGATGACTTTGAAGGGACTTAAATAAGGAAATTAACATGCAGTTAATTGGACAAGTGACAACTATCATACCACTATTCTTCATAAGGGCAGCAATATAAGTTGTTTTACCACCAGGTGCAGCACTGTAACAGGCACAAATTGTTAACATCAAAAGCTAGAGGAAAAAAAAAGCAATTATTTCATTAATCTAGAATGTTTATTAGAAAAAATGGTGCGTGCATGAGCGCAAATCCATAAAGAGGCAGGTTTTGAAGGTTAGGGGAGAGGGAAAATTCCAGAGGCACAAAGCTATGACATGAGATCCCAAATTACAGCAACACTTACAATGTGACAAGCATAGTATGAAAATATCTAGCTTCGCTTATGAGATACTATTTTCAAAGAAAGTTGGAAATAATATGGTTATAATGAGAAAACAATATGCAGAGCACAGAATGAGTAGTAGTAACTCACGCCATATCAACAATCCGTTCCTTTTCTTGAGGAGCAAGGGCCATCACTGGCAGAAAAGAACTTGCACTTTGCAGCTGTATACAAGCAGAATAGGACAATAGGTAACCATCTCAAAAAATTTTTACAAAAAGGGTAAGGAACAATATGAAAGTGAAATAGCAAAGATCACTAACCATGTAAAAACCAGCCATATATTCAGGAGTGGCACCAATTGGCACTTGAGAATCATATACCACAAGTCCTACCTATGATAGTAACATCAAGGATTTTATATATCAATAACATAAAAGCAACCTAAAAAAGAAAACAAACAGATATGATAATTCATACTTTTGACCACTTGCTTAATGGATCGAGATTAACTCCTCTGTTCAAGAGGACATCAGCCAGATCCCGTCTTCGAGTCTAATCACAAAAGGAAGAATAATATGATTGAGATGCATAAAAATGAGCACAGAATGCACTCAAAAACATAAAAAATTTCAATGCAGTAAAGTGCAATTCACCTTCAAAGTGTTCGTCCGTAAACATATAGGTCGAGGCTTTTCAAAAGCTTCAATAAGTTCCATAAGCTCAACCACAGGAAACATCTGAGGAAAAAAAATCAGATTTTAATTTTTTTTGAGAAGCAGATTTAATATGTTCTACCATCCTCTCCATTGGGAGAGACCGAGTTAGACAAGCTACCATAACAAGAGAAGGGGTGAGGGGAAGGTGGGAAGTAGGGGGAAAAGAACGTAAACACCAATCAATCAATCACCTCGACCAAAACTCCAATAAGAAATTCATTATATCCATAATACGATGCCAAATCCATCTTCAGCTGCTCAGTGTAATCCTTCCTCGTGGTTCCTTCCTGTTTCAATTCCTTAAAATTTGAAAGCACTCGAACAACTGAAAGAGCATATAATTAAAATCTGAGTCAGGAAAGATTGATTGAGAATGCTGAGTCTTAATATGCACTCCACTAAAGAAAAAGGAAAAGAAGGTACATACTCTCTCTTATCCTCCTTTGGAGATTCGAAAGATCTGGGGGCTGACGTGCCTCTTCTTCAAGTTCCTACAACAAAACATAGAATAAGCTAGACAATATGCCAACAAATGACACCAAAATCACAAATTCAGTTCAAAAAGAGATAACAAGCATAAACAATAACAAACCTCCTTGGTTGGCAATCTAAACTCATCAGATTCCTCTTTAATATTCAGTTGCATTTCAGCTTCAGCCTCTTCTTGTTCCCTCGCTCTTTGTTCATCAATAGCCCTAGACTTTGCCTCAATATCAGATTCATCTGAATCCGAATCTGAATCCAAATCTGAACCCGAAGCTGAACCTGAACCTGAACCTGAACCCAAATCATGCTCTACAGCATCATATGAAACAAACCTCATTGTCAAAAAAGTGAAAAACCAAAAATAAGGATATAAATATCAGAAAGAGAGAAGCACACCTTCATCTTCGCTTCCCTGGAGGAAATCATCTGCCAGGGGATCATCTCCATCAGAAAAAAGTTCAGAACCAGATCCAGAATCAGACCCTTCCTCTTCTTCTCCATTAAACTCTCCATGCTCCTTTAATTCTTCCTCACTTAACACATCAGAATCATCCTGAATATCAGCCTTTTTGGAACGTTTGCCTGTGAAAATATCAGTTTTCTGCTTCTTTTTCGATGGTGCCTTATGTGGCTTGCCGCTCTTTTTCTTATTAAGTGCAGCAGCAACCATCACAGCTGCAGCGTCAAATAAAGGAGTTAGAATATAAAAATTAAAAAAAAAAACAAATCATTCTTCATCCTAGCAAAGGACATAGATAATTCAAAACAGGGTAATGATGTAGGAAAAATTAAAGCCACCACATAAAGTTTCGAAAACGTCATGTCATACCTGAGAAGTTCTTAAGTATCACATTTAAGATTTAATTGCATATACAACCCAATATTTAGAATTTTCTTATAAATAATTATTCAAACAAGGATTGATATTAAAAGGGATATTAAAAAGGTCATTGTAGTGCTCAAGTATAAAACCCTAATCCAACTATAACTAGAGAACCCTAATAAAAGTTAAAAACGCAGAAGAACATTTGCTTGGTCCAGAATTAGCTAATAATCCCAAATAAAAACCTATCAAAATTTGCTTCCTTTTTACTTATGAGCCATGCAATTAGGCCTATTTCGTCTTTATGATTTTCAAGGAAATACACCAAAATTTTGACACAGGTTCTTTTAGTCATTTTACCAACTTTTCAACTTATAATCACTCTTTTACCAGTACTGATTATTATGCAAAACTTAAAGTCAAATAGAAGTACAAAAACCAAACATATATTTCACTTATCTTCTGATAGCTTATAGTTCATGAACCTTTAAGCATTGTCCACTGATAAGCTAAAAGAGATTTGGTGTCTGTTAGCATGTGAACTATAGTCTCTAGTTTATAGCTTTTTTGGTCTGAATTGGGTCATTGTAGGCACAGTGAGAGAGAAGCTTTCGACATGGAGAGGCATCCAGAGAAATAAACAGACAATTATACTTATCGCTTTGGCTACCTTTTATAGGCCATGCAATTAGACCTATTTCGTCTTTTATGATTTTCAAGGAAATGTACACCAAAATTTTTTCACAGGTCCTTTCAGTCATTTTATCGACTTTTCAACTTATAGTCACTCTTTTAACAGTACTTATTATTATACAAAACTTAAAGTCACATAGAAGTACAATAACCAAACATATATTTCACTTATCTTCTGATAGCTTATAAGGTAAAAGAATTTGGTATCCGCTACCATGTCAACTATGGTCCCTGGTTTATAGCTTTTTTGGTCTGAATTGGGTCATTGTAGGCACAGTGAGAGGAGCTTTTGACATGGAGAGGCATCCAGAGAAATAAACAGACAATTATACTTATCCTTTTGGCTACCTTTTAGGCCATTTGGAAAGAGATAAGTAGCTTTTGAAGGCAGATTTGATAATATTAGGATTCTTGATTTAGGCCCTAAGTATTTCGATTAAGGATCAACCTCTGCATTTAAGTGAGAATTTGGAGACCTTATTGATTTTTTGTTGAACATGTACATCTTTGTATATGGGTTGCATCCCTTCACTGCTTTGTTAATAGTCACACATTTTTATTCAAAAAAAGGGAAAAAAATATAAGCTAAACCAAATGACCCCTTATACTTTCAAGAATTTAGAGTATAAATGAAATTCTAATCCTAGCAAAGTCCTAATCCTTTCCATACTATTATAATAAATTGTAGATTGGAGAGAAATACAAGTCCTGATTTGTTTAGAATTGCCAAACATCATCTGTTCTCCCTTGGTAGGAGAAAACTCAGCCATGAGTTCTGAAGTGCAGAATCAAGAAACTTGATCATTAAACATTCCAAAATTTTGGCAAACTTCACAATTGATCATCCTTTTTAATAGAAAAATTAATCGAAAAACACAAGTGCTTAGGTGAAAACCTGCAAATAGGAGAAGACCAACAAAATCAAAAAACTAGTGTGCCAAATTCGCATTGAACACTGATACAGTCAACCAGTGCATCAGATTCCTCTTCGTCCAATTAAGGATTTGGAAATAAAAAATCTAGAGATCACACCTATGATTTCTTAAACATTTCATTTAGGAAATATTAAGCACTACGCTTAAAGGTTTGATTTGTATCACACAATTAGAAAATTGAGAAAATATACTATTGACTATTTGAATGAATCTTCTCAAAAGGTTACAACTATATATAAAGAGTGTTAAAAACATCTTTCCTAACTATATTAGGAAATATCAAACCTAATTTTGGAATACTACTCTTAATAAAATAGAAATACTAATACTAAAAACTCAGGAATACTAACCCAATACAAATAGAAATATTAAAACAAGTATAAAAACTAACTACTAAAAAGAATAAAATCCTAAATTTACTACTAAAAAGAATGAAATCCTAAATTTACTACTAAAAAGAATAAAATCCTAAAATTACCAAAATTATATTTAAAGAGCGCTAAGTAGGTTTTTCCTAACTATATTAGGAAATCCTACACCTAGTCAATGAAAAACTAAAACTTTCATCCTTAAGTTGATGGGTATGAAACACAGAATTGTTGATGAGTAAGAAATCATGATGGGAAAATGAAATCAACATATAGCGAATTTATGCCTCAACTCATCCTTGAGTTGAAGATCAATAAACCCATTTATTGATTTAGGTTCCTCCTTGCATTGAACTTCCATAGAACTCTCTTTAGCAGTGAAAGATCTTGAATAAACTCAGCATCTTTACTCTTAGGAAAACATGAGAGTTTTTCTCAGTTCTCAACTTCCACGAACTCCTTCTCTTTATCTTTTTCATTGACTACAGGTCCTTTTGGACGTTTATATCATTCATGGTTTCTGTAGTCAGAGATTTTGAAACTAAATCATTATGCCGAACATAAACTGATAAGTATTGGTAGTCTCATCATGCTGAGCCTTTTAATCATAAAGTCAAGGTTGACCTAGAAAAATATGTGTGAACATCGAAGGAACCACATCAAACAAGATTGGATCACTGCAGGTACCATGAACAATGGAGACAAAATTTTGCTGAGTGACCAAAACGCTCGAATTCTCCATCCAAGCTAGTCCTCAAGGTTGCCGATATGATTGTGTTTAAAGATTGAGACATTCCACTGTAAATGTTGAAACAAGATTTTTGCGACACTAATGATAAATTTCTTATATTTATTTCCACCACGGGTTCCATAGTTTGGAAATTGAAGAACATTTTGGATCTCTTTTTGATTGAACTGCATAGTTGTGCTTAACTATTGTAAAAAAGACTTGTTTTATTATCCTCGACTAATGGCTCATTCTCTTCGTTATAATTCCACATGTTTAAACCTTTTCCATTACACAAAATTTTGAAAAAGAGACTGCCACATAAGAAAAATGGACAATAATACCTCATTTTAAACTACTGTAAATTGGTCTAAAAGAGAATAAATTAGTCTAGGTGAACCGATTTGGTCAAACAAGGTTCTATAAGTCAAAACAAAGCACAACATTAAAATTCCCACTCGCAAGAGTGTGCGCGTGGGGTCCATGTTCCAGCTTCCGATCACCATACGACTATCTTCAATTGATCAACTTGAATGAAGGAGGCAATTGTACATCAAAGGTCGGTCTGAGAGATGGTTGAGTAGAAGTACAGGATCCTCAAAGGCAGCAGCTGCGAGAGCTTACATCGGTGAGTGGCAAAGTTTTTGGTGGAGTTCCGCAGTTGGGCTTTTGGGAAACGCCAAATGGACCTTCTGAAGTCAGTGGTAGAGGCAGTGTCAACCACCTATGAGTAGTAATTGGTGAACTGAGTGGAAGCCGTTTGGAATGTTTAGGGTTTTGGGATTCTTTTTGGCAATTTTCTTTTTTTTTTCTTTTTACAAATGAGCCTGGGTTGTTTAGGTGAATGGTTGTGATATTTTGGATGTAGGATTGTTTTAGCTTTGATACAAATTCATGTAGAACAAATAAGACTGATTTGTCCAATTAAGGATTTGAGGATAAAAACCTAGACATCACAACTAGAGTTTCTTAGATATCACATCTAAGAAATCTTAAGCATCTCACTCAAGAACTTAATTGTATCACAGACTTAGAAAATTAAAAAACTCTCAAAATATATTATTGAATACTTGAATGAATCCTCTTAAGAGGTTACAACCATATCCAAGGAGTACTAACTATGTCTTTCTTAACTAGATTAGGAAATACTAAAACTAATTTAGGAACACTACCCTTACTAACATCAGAATAGTAACACTAAAAATAATAAGAATAATAATTCTAATACAAATAGGAAATATTAAAATAAAAGGAAAACTAACTTACTCAAAAGAATAAGATCCTAATGCTAATAGACTAATCTTATCCATAATATTCAATAAATTGTAGACTTGACAGAAGTATAAATCAGTCTTTTTTTCTGTATCACATAATCTCTAGTTTTGACAAAGCAAACATACATAATAACCAAGGAATAACATATTAGAAAAATGGAAAAAAAATTGCAGCATTGAAAAAACTGATCATATTCCTATCCAAAGCATCTGATTAGTGTTAGACCGAATAAACCCCTCAAAGAACCCACATAAGGATGACGACACATTACCTCTTTATGCAGCACAAGCAAAATCACCTAAAGAACAAATTATATATCCAGTAACATCATAAAGGTTTATTCCAATGCCAACCCCCCATATCCAACACCAATTTTTTCAATCAATCAAAGAACTGAAATCGTTGACTCTACCATCAAGAAGAACATACAAAATGACAAGTAATTCTATAAAAAAAAAAAAAAAGAACCTAGCAATAAGCTGATTGTGTCAAGTTCAAATATCTTCGAAATTCTCCCAATCAAAACGGCTAAGCAAGCATATATCAAAGAATTAGCAGACAAGACCCTTCAAATTTTTCTCGGAAATCCAGAACTCGTTTTTTTAAGAAAAATTTTCAGTTAGAAACCAGAACATGAAAGTCCAGATGATAAACTACACAAGCAAAAAACCGCAAGTTACAACTATACTTAAATAAAAAAAAAGTAGCATCATAACTTCAAACATAATATGACTTCAAGAGGTCCAATCCTTTAACCGGTGACCGAACAAACACACACACAAACACATATACATACAATACGCTGACAATGGAAAGAAACTTTACCTGTTTGAATAATAGCTTAAAGAAACCGCAAATAGCAGCAGCTTGAGTTGATGTAGCCTCGGCTTCCAAGAACAGCTATATACTGAGCTTCTGCCCGAACGAAGTGACACGAACACCTCCAAGCGCTCAAACCTGGAGGAAGCCGACTGTGACTTTAGGGATTTCAAACGGGAGAAACAGAGGAAAAAGAGGAAGGGTTTTAGGGTGGCTTTTTACGGTTGGCTGAGGTTTTAGAGAGAGAGGAAATTACTTTTGGGCTGAAAATTCAGGCTTTACAATGGGCTTGGGTTGAATTATTTTTATTATTACTAATTTGCGTATTAAGAACAATTAATTAATGCCATATAATTTACTTTCAATAATTCTTACATACTAAATTTATATTAGCAACTTACTAGAAGCCTAATTTGATAAATACAATTTAAATAAATAGTAACATAATACCATAGCAATATATATCCATCGAATATGATATAATTTATGTGTAATATAATAGGGATATATATATTTCAAAAATTATGATAAGTCCTTCCAATACCAACAATTACAAATCCCTACCTATTAATCTCTTTAGTATCATACCTTATATATAATATTTATATGTCATTGATAAAAAAAATAATAATTATATAAATTTAATAGGTATTATTCTTTTAAATATAAATAAATTATAATAATTTATCAATTAATACGAAAATCTCGTACTCTAAACAACGTTATCGATCGTTTTTTTTTTTCTGATGTTTGTTTTCGTATTTTAATCTTATACCGAATACATTATATAGAGAATTATTAATAATAGATTCTATCTCAACCTCCCCTTAAAATTCAACTCTCTCACCCATACTAATTAATTTTTACCTAAAATTTGTAAACCTATTAGTTTGTGCGTCATTATATATATACATATATAAAGATGTATGTCATCCTTTTTAGAAAAAGTTATAAGGCATATACACGTGATAAGTTTTTTTTTTTTTTTGTTTGATAAGTTATAAATTACATTTAATTGAAAAGGATTATTTCATACATATCTTTGTGATAATGTTATGTATGCTAAAAAAAATATTATTGCATATATAGTAAATAATTGTTGGGATTTATAAGTATATAAAATTTAAATTTTTATTAATTTTACTTATTTAAAAATTAATAACTTAAAATACTTTTAATATGTTTATATTAAAATTAAATTTATTAAAAATAATATATCATTATTCAAGAAATAAATATAAATCAAATATTTTAAAAAATAATCTCTCATTAATTACATAATATTTAAAAAATAAACATAAATTAAATATAATTAAAAAAAACTATTCACTAACTCAAAAATTAAAAATTTAAAGTATCATTAACTAAGTTTACATCAAAATTAATTTTTTAAAAAAATAATGTACAACTATTTAAGAGATAAATATAAATTAAATATCTTAAAAGATAAATTTTTATTATTACATAATATTTTAAAATTTAAATATAGTCTAAATTCAATTAAAATAAAATTTTATTTGAATTTAAATTAATAAATAAAATAAATTATAATTTTTATATCAATTTTCAACGATAATCAAATTATTAATGGTAATTTACTAATTAAAATAATTAAATAATAATATATGATGTTATTAATAATTCAAGAAGAACGGGATAAAACTATTTCAGCCAACAAATAGCTAATACGGGAAACGAACAAAAATGAATAAACATGTCACCTTAAATTTTGTTCTACAGACTCTATATCCAAGTTCATATAAGATGATTCTGTATGAAGAACATAGACTGTCAGTTATTGTTAATTTCTCTAATATCATTGTAACGAGTCTTTACAACCATTGGAGTTCGGCTTTCCTTTATATATATATATATATATATATGGACAGTCAGTACGTATACTATATACAGGCAGAAGTAAATGTGAGTATTCTGATCCCTGCAACGAAGACTAGAAAAATAGTTTTGCTATTTCAAACTTGAAATGAATCTCACCATATAAATTTTTATGAGTATGATAATTTTAATTATATGAGATTCTTAGAATATGAGTCCATATATAGGATATTTATATGTATCTATCAAATTAGGCATATATCGTCTTTCCTTTTGTTTTCCCTTTCTAAACCGAAATTCATGGCGGACACATGAATGTTGAATTTACTGCACTATATTGTCCATATTCACTCCATTATAACTGTATAATAACAAGTAATTAAACTTCCTGGTCCATTTCATTAGTCATGAATATTCAGTTTTATTTACTTGCTATTGTTTGAATTAGATTTGACCAAACTTCTTATCGCTTAAAATTTGCTTTTTTTAGGTATGAAATAAAATCGGGATTCTGTTTTTGAGTATTTTTTGGTAGAAAAATATTAGACGGAAGTTACCTGTGTACAGACTGTAAAATATATTTTGAGAAATGGTGCGGAGAGGATTACTATAAATTCAGTAGTGATAGTATTTCTCTTTGCTGCGGGCATTGTTTTTCTTTGGCAAATTTTACAGAGGGAGGAAATGGCAACCTCCTTGGACCAGGAAATCCCTCAGTACAATCCCCCTGCAAACCAGAAAGACCCTGGTACAAATCTTTCACGTTCAGATACAGACATGTATTAGTTTATGTATCATCTCGAAATATGTAGATGTATACGTATATCTATCTTTGTTCATCGTGCAATTAACAGTTGTTGAATGGAGATGACCTCTCATGTTTGATGATCAACGTAGTTTGGATTTTTTGAAAACTTACTGCAAATGTTCGTCTATTTGTGTCTGAAATGTATGTTTATGTATGTCTATATATGTATATGTATATATATATATATCTCTCTCTCTCTCTATATATATATATATATCACAGTGCAACAGGAACGCTAATTTCACCTACTATGGTGATTTAGTGGAAATCTCTGTCAGTATGAGGTCAATATTCCAATTGATGATCAACGTGAGTTTGGATTTTTGAAAACTTATTGCACATATTCATGTATTTGTGCGTGAAATGTATGTGTATGTATTTATATATATATATATATATCTCTCTCTCTATATATATATATATATGTGTATATATATATCACATATATGTTTTGCAATAGGAACGCTAATTGAAAATTATCTCTGATTATATATTAAAAATAGTAAAAATAAAAATTTACGAGTGTGAATTTTTATTAGATTATCATTCGTATTCTGTAAATTTAAATTTTACATTAGACAATCACCGTTTTTATCAGAAATTTCAGATAAACATATATATATTTATGTTGTGGTGATGATCATGTAGAGGATGAAGTGGATGATAATCCAATAGAGGAGGTAAGACTGACCGTTTCGATCGCCGACGATCCGACGGAATCGGCATTGACGTTTAGAACATGGGTCATCGGCCTGGTGTCGTGCGTGATTCTTGCTTTTGCAAACAGATTTTTAAATTATCGAACCAATCCGCTTGGAATTTCTTCAGTTACCATTCAAATTGTTGGTCTTCCAATCGGAAAATTCATGGCGGCAACACTTCCGACGAAGAAATTTCGTTGTCCTTTTACGAAGAAGACATTTTCTCTGAATCCTGGACCCTTCACTTTAAAAGAACATGTACTCATCACCATATTTGCTAGTTGTGGTTCGCTCGGTGTATATGCCGTCCATATTATCTCAATCGTCAGGGTCTTCTATCATCGCGGACTGAATGCAATTGCAGCTTTGTTGCTTGCACAAACTACTCAGGTATTTGCACAAACTACTCAAATAATACTGAGAAGATATTTTCAAATGGACTGTGCTTGATTTGATCGGTTTTCTCGTTGAAATTCAGCTGCTAGGTTATGGATGGGCGGGTGTATTCAGGACATACCTTGTTGACTCACCTTATATGTGGTGGCCAGCAAACTTGGTGCAGGTTTCTCTGTTCAGGTACTTTCAATTTGTTTTATGACAATTTTTTGTAGATTAAAAATGTGTAGTGGCAAAAGCTTGAGCAATGTGTAGAAAACTTGTTGCAGGGCATTGCATGAGAAAGAGGAGAGACCTAAGGGAGGACAAACCAGACTGCAATTCTTTCTTATTGTGTTCATAGCAAGTTTTGCTTATTACGTGATTCCAGCTTACTTCTTTCAAGCCATATCGGCACTTTCTGTTATTTGCTGGATATGGAAGAAGAACATCACAATGCAACAAATTGGTTCCGGAGTCAATGGTCTAGGTCTTTTCTCGTTTGGTCTGGACTGGGCTTCAATTGCCGGCTACCTCGGTAGCCCTCTTGCTACGCCTTTCTTTGTAATTGCCAATGTAATGATTGGGTTTTTCGTCTTCGTCTACATTCTCGTCCCCATTGCTTATTGGAACAACATGTACGAAGCCAAGCGATTTCCCATCTATTCATCAAAAACATATGACATTGATGGTCACAGATATAATATAACCCGAGTTCTCAATGAAACCAGTTTTGATCTTGATCTAGTCGGCTATGAAAATTATAGCAAACTCTACCTCAGTATTATATTTGCCTTCGTTTATGGATTGAGTTTCGCCACTCTGACATCAACTATTTCCCATGTTGCACTTTTTGATGGAAAGTAAGTTATTCATTTACAGACTTTTACTTCAGATTCTAATTTTTGTGCCCTTTTCAGTTCTGACGGAAGTTTTGCTCTCCTTTCTAAAAATAATCAATGTATAGAATGATTTGGAGTACATGGAAAAAAACATCAACCACAGCAAAGAACAAATTCAACGATGTGCACACAAGACTGATGAAGAAGAACTATCCAACCGTTCCCATGTGGTGGTTTCATTCAGTTTTAATCTTGTCCGTAGGCCTTGCTATCTTTGCTTGTGAAGGTTTTGGCAAGCAGTTGCAGCTTCCATGGTGGGGAGTTCTACTATCTTGTGCCATTGCTTTTTTCTTCACCCTGCCTATAGGGATAATTCAAGCCACAACAAACATGGTATGATACATAGCGAAGAATAACAGAAAGATCTCTCTATTTTTTAAATTATTTCCACAGATGACTAAACATAATGAGGATCTAATATGCAGCAACCAGGGTTAAATGTGATCACAGAGTTGATCATTGGGTATATGTACCCAGGGAAGCCTCTCGCCAACGTGACTTTCAAGACCTATGGCTATATCAGTATGTCACAGGCACTTAATTTTATTCAGGACTTCAAATTGGGACACTACATGAAGATCCCTCCAAGATCCATGTTCATTGTCCAGGTAAGTTTCATGACTAACTTTTGACGCTTTTCTACAGTGAGTAAATTCATGACCATATGAATTCATGTTGCATTCAGTTAGTTGGAACCCTTGTTGGAACCACCATCCACTTTTGCACCGCATGGTGGCTTCTTTCAACTGTAGAGAACATATGCGATACATCTTTGTTACCCCCAGACAGTCCATGGACATGCCCCAACGATGCGGTTTTCTACAGTGCCTCAGTCATCTGGGGTGTCATTGGTCCTGCCAAAATGTTCACAAAGCAAGGCATCTACCCGGAAATGAACTGGTTCTTCCTTATTGGCCTTCTTGCTCCTGTTCCCTTTTGGTGGCTGTCACGCAAATATCCTGAGAAAAAATGGATCAAATCCATCCATATGCCCATGCTCTTAGGAGCTACAATTAGCATGCCACCAGCTAGAGCAGTGCACTATTGGTCTTGGGGAATTGTGGGAATACTCTTCAACTATTATATCTTCAGAAGGTACAAGGGATGGTGGGCTAGGCACAACTATATTTTATCTGCTGCTCTTGATGCTGGTGTTGCCTTCTTGGGAATCCTCATCTTCTTTGCCCTCCAAAATACCAGTTTCCCAGAGTGGTGGGGTATGTCCTACACTGACCACTGTGACTTGGCAGCATGTCCTACTGCACCTGGGTCTACATGTGGCAAATGATAAATGATCTGCTTCATCAAGATGCTAAAGACATTGGTTTTCTGTAAGATGTAGCATATTCTGCGCAGGGATTTCAGATTTCATTATCGAAGCATTGTACCTGTCAATAAAATAATGGAGAAGACTGATTACGATTACACAACAGCATAATCTAATAGCTTCGCCTATGAAGATGTACGGTTGTAATTTGTAGGACAGGTTTCTTATGAAATTATCTAATCAATGTCAAAATGGATAACGTCAGTTTGTTTCAAGGTGACCAGGAATTTTCAGATACATGTATTTCAAATTGATTGTTTGGTAGTAAAACTATTTGTTTGAATTTGTATATCCTGTATTTTTACATAAATGCTCAAGAAGACTAGACAACAAGAAAAAGGAAAATGATAAAAGATAATGTAACGATTCTGAAAATTCAAAGGAAATAAATAATAACTTTAAGTGCGGAAACGAAATAAAAGGGTTAAAATTTACATTCCTTACACAATAACTTAAAAGTACTAAACAACATTACAAAATTCACTCTTTTAAAAAAAACACAAGAAATAAACGGAGAAGATAAAATATATAGCATCTGCTCGCAATCTTATTGCGGATCGGGTCTGAAACCTGGTTCTCTTGATATGAAATAATTAACTAAGAAATGAGTTATACTATTCTAATAAAAATATCACACTATATCACCGACACAGAAATAAAGATAGGTATAAAACAAAAACAACTAATATAGCACTAAATTTAGTAAATTCATTTATCAATCATAAAATTATTTATCGTTCACTTACCGCAATGAGATTTATGAAACCAATCTATGCAGACAATAATATCATACGGATTATAATTTCATGTAGGATCAGCAACATTACACATATCATAAATCTATACACACCGTTAAATAACTAAACAATAACTGTCACCTTTTTACCAGTCTACTAGTATCCATGGGGGTTCATAGAGATGTCTCCGCTGCATGTGACCCCTTTCCTTTAACAATCTTAATTACGAGCCGTCCTCATACCCCGTCAGGTATGAGCGCCAAATTATTAAACCTTAATACCACGTGCGGTATGAAGGTGAAGCGGGCCGTACCCATACCTCATCCAATATGAACGCCAAATTATCAAGTCTCCATACCCCATCCAGTATGAGACAACGTTCACGGTAGGGTTCCCTATGTACCCAGTCCGTCCACCATCTCTCAGGATATCCAGTTAAGCTGTCATTCCATCTGTTTATTTAATCACACAACTTTTCCGTTTTTCTTTAGTCTCCATTTTCCAAATCAACCATGATCACATAAGTAAACAAACATTCATCAAGGAATGCAATCATATCTCAATTTTCCAATCAAACAATAGTCACGTAAGTCAACAATTCATGCATTCATATCATAAAATTGATAAATCAAATATCATCATACTTTTAAACTGTAAAATAAATCAACAGAAATTAACAGAGAACAATTTTTTGTTCGGGCTCCATTAGCAATCCATAATTAATTATGCACATTTATTTAATTTGTACAAATATCATATTATTATTTATTTATACTTCAATTCTATAATAGAGAATATGGTGAGGGATCCTTATCCGATTTGACGACCGAAAAAGTAAATTGTTTACTGCACCTACGGACGATCCATGGGTTCCCTAAATTTTTCTTCGAGAATCGAAATGCGCTAATAGTACTTATAAATGTTCCAAACAAACCCAAAATCAGTTTCAGGGCCCATTTGGCCAATTTCGGAATCCCAGCACTGCGTCTCCACCGCGCGCCAGCGGCGGTCTGCCTCAAGTCAGCTATTTTCGACCATTTGCGGCCTAATTCAGCCGATTTTGCATCAATTCCTGCGAGAAAATACGTTAAAGGATATCAGTTGGCCGAAAAAATACAAAAAACCGAAACTCACCAGCGACGAGTCTCTCCGATGCAACGGCTCCTCCGACTCACGTTGCAGTTGGGTGTTTTCTTCGATCAACCTGTAGAAAAAGACACAATGATCGCAACGGTGGAAAGACTACACAGAACAGGAATCGGGAAGGGTCTCATTGAAGGGATTTTGTTAAATACCCCGCAGCTGCGGTGCCGAGCTTCATCGGCGTTTTTCGGCCAATTGGCCGGTCTTTTTGCTCCGATTTGATCATAAGTGAGCTTAAAATTAAATTTTGTACAAAATGAGAAGTTTTTACCTTTTTTGGCGGTCGGAAAGGGTTCTGTTGCTGCGGCGGGTGGCGACGGTCTGCTTCCCGGCGGCTAGGTCATCTTCTCCGGCGATGGGGTATGGTGGCTAGAGTTCGAATGGGAGTTATTTATATCCGTACGCTTTTGATCTATACCATCCATTGCATTTGATCTGAACTATCCGATCGCGATTAAATAGGGAGTAAATCTGAACTGTTCATCGAGATCCAATCTGGACCGTCCAATTACGTTTGAATCTAGCCATTCGATCGCGTTTGAGAGAAAGCGCATCCAGGCCCGTCCGTGCACGCAGGAACGGACCTGGGTCGTTCGATCACAGGCACGCAGATTACCCACGTGGCACCAACGTGGCGGCGTCATGATTCGTCGAGACTGCTGACCAAACGTCTCACGCAGTAGAACTTCTCCAAATTGCACTTTAACCATTGATTTCCGATTTTTCTTTCAAAAATACCCCCAAAATCTAAATTTTTACCCATTTTTTTCAAAATTGTTTCCAATTTCATCTTCATTCAATTTTTACTTCATTTTTATCCTAAATTAAATATAATAAATTAATAAAAAATTATATTTATTAATTATTTAATTACACACAAATTTTTTATTTTTTCTATTTTTTTTTTTGTGGGTGTTACAAATAACAAACAACAATTTCGTCCGGAGGCAAAAAGAACATACATAAACTATATGTATTAACGCATAAAATGTATATTCACCAGTAGTCCTGGCAAGAACATAATCCGTCTTTAAAACAATGGAACCTGTTCCTATCGCGAACAATTATCTCTCGGTTCGCAATTGCTGAGATACATTTGAAAGCAACATGACAATCCTCACAGACTCGAAGGTTCTTCATTATTCTGATTGGTGTTTTAGGTGAAATGTTTAGAAGTCCAAAACAAAGTGCTAGTTTCTCGCTATGACGGTACAGAAATTTCTCCTTGCTTTCCTCATCTGTGTCCAGAAGAACAACTGATAGGTTAGGTGCATATCCCCGCTGCTTCATTTCTCCCAGCAGTTTTTCCCACAGTTGAAACATCTTCGGACTTTGAGGATGGCTGTCATCCCCAGCAACAAAAGTATGAATAATTCCATCAACCTCGATAGAGCTGCAACCGGGTGTTTTCTTAATCCCTCGATTTCTCATCAATCTCCTCACCCTCGCTGCATCTTCCCATCTTTCTGCTTCCGCATAGATATTCGACAAAACCACGTAGTATCCATCATTTAGAGGATCTAATTCAGCTAAGTGTTTGGTAGCTTCTTCGGCCAATTCAATGTTCTTGTGAACTTTGCAGCCACCAAGGAGAGTTCCCCACACAACCCCATTTACCTCTATTGGAATGTTCTCAATAAACTCCCGAGCCTCCTGAAGAAGTCCTGCTCTGCTGAAAAGATCAACCATACAACCATAGTGCTCAATTTGAGGAATTATCCCATAATCTCTAGTCATACTAGCGAAATAGTTTTGTCCTTCATCAATCAAACACATATGGCTACAAGCATTTAATATGCCAATGAAGGTTATCCCATTAGGCT